TACTGGTGTTGTAATCGAAAAAAAATAAATTATATATCTATGTATGTATTGCTAAAGATAACATATTGGATAATATTTCTGGGCATTGGCATGCATCTCGTCTGGGGAATGACACTATTCCTTTCCCTTCCTGTCTCTTTGCCTCTTGCATCTTCTTCCTTGGTTTTCATTATTTTTATTTTTATTTTAAAATTGAGGAGAGAGAGAGAGAGAGAGAGAGAGAGAGAGAGTGGGAGTTATGGTTAGTGTAACGTTGACGTGTCAAGAGGGGGTTGTGGTGATGAAAGTGACACGTGGAACCAGGACATCCCCGCCTACGCTGCTTGTCTTTATCTACAGAGACTTCACCACCCTATTGGACTGACAAGTGGCCATCACCAAAAATTTGAAAATAAAATGAAATTTATTTGCTGGGTTTCAAGAAAAAAAGTGAGTTTCGGAAGACCAAGTTCGCCTCCTCTTTGCCGACAGCCATGGGCTGGGTGCATTGTCCCATTTACGTCATCCCCTTCGTACATCTTTAAAAACGGGCTTTTCCCCCACACCCCACTAAATGGGCCCACACACCCATCCCCTCATCTGATATTTTGTGGACGAGTTTCGCTATTCAGCGCTGAACCTCATCTCCTTACAGTACAGACTCTTTTGACTTTCTTTCTTTCGAAACAGAAAAAAACAAAAAATAATAATAATTTATTGTGAATTTGTAACTAGACCTGAATAATAATTGGCGAGTCGGAAATTTCCCAAAAAGTATCGTCTTCGTAATTTGATTTGACACTCTGAAAGCCTCAAATTAAAGAAAATACTTCACTCCACTGTAAAATACTTCACTTTTTCCACTGTAAGTAGTAACTCGTACATTTTTACCAATGATAATATGATGTGTGTAGAAATTTTTTTCTATGTTTTTTTTATGAATTATTTTTGTATTTGTGTAAAATTATAATTTACAGGAAAGATCTCCTTCTAGAGAAAGAAGCAAGTAATATCCTCAAATTAATACAACTTTGTGCAGCATCTTAACTCACAATCGACGGGGTGACATTTATTCTCAAAAGTCCAATAAAAAAAACTTTAAAACTCAACTTTACTCTCTAATTTATCATATGGAGTTTTAAAAAACACCTTGCCACATTGTAAAAAATAACAAAATTTTGGACGGAGTTGACAGTATAGGGTAAGTAAGTCATTTTAAATTTGAGAAAGTAACGTGAGATTTGACCGTAGTTTCGAAAACATTAGTATAAATTTATATAAGCATGATGCAAATTGAGAAGACTAAAAACATATTCCACTCTGTCGACTCTTCTTCTTCCCCCGACCCAAAACCAACTCCAGATCTGCAAATCACCTTGGTTCCAGGGGATGATCTTACTAGACCTACTACTTTTGTGGTAGATCTCTTTATTTTGGAAGTGGAGCTGCTAATTTTGGTGGATCTACTCTTATTGTGCTTAGAGATCAAGGGGATTAGGAGATGTGATATTATTTGGAATGTCCTGGTGGAAGTTGTGCGGTTATGCCATCCACTCTTGGGGTGTTTCCTGTCTCATGAAGTTTGAGAGTTTGTTATCTGTCTTGATCTTATTTAAGCATTGATTGTTGCATAATTAGGATCCTCCTTATTTGTAACTCCTTGTTAGCTAGGGTTCAAGCTGTATATTTGTTTTCTAACAATCTTGTAATACTGGTGCTTAGTTGTTGTTATTGTTTCAATCTTTGTTTTACAAGAACCTCTTTCCGGAACTGTGTTCTTATTGTTGTATCCTATATTTGTGTCATGTTCTTCAAATGAATATCTACTGTTTTACCTAAAAAGAAAAAAAAAAAAGACTAAAAACAGTAAAACCAAACATAATAATTATATGGTCCCACAATATCACATTATATAATTCACATGGGCCCAAGTTTAGCTCATGATGGTCATGTGACAAACTTTGCTTCTTCTTTTTTCTTTCTTGAAATTTTGGAAAATACTTCATACTTCATAATTATACGAAAAATAAATGTATTATTCGGATATGAAACACGTATGTATAAATATTCACAAAGTATCCCTGTGAAAATCTCTCTGTTTTCTGAGCTCTGAGTTCAAGGAAGAAACTACTCGGGGTTTCCAAGACATGGAATAACACAATGGCATTGGGAACTTACATTATTATAGTTTGTTAGGGTTTTGGTTCGCGGAATAGTGGGTTACAAATGTCTTGCATAGGGAAAGCTGTTTTACATTATTATTATTATTATTATTATTATTCATTGGGTCTTGAGAAAAAAACAATGATAATAACCTGCGGGTTTCGATGTGGAGGGCATAAAAAACAAGACCCTAATTTTTTCTAGGGCCTGCAAAATCCAAAGGGGATGTGTAATCCCAAAGGCATGTCTTATCGCCTTTAGTTTTTTGGTCAAACTCAAAATAAACAAATGGGTTTATAATCTTCATTCTTCAAGGAGCCACCATGCCCCTCCTCTCCTCTCCTCTCCTAGACTTAGATTGATTCGGTTCCAAGGTTGTCTTTCTTCATTTGCAAAGGTCACCACACAACACAATCTTTGTGTTTTTTTTCTTATTGTCACGGACGCACAATGTTGCTAAATTAAATAGTAACAACTGATTTATAATAGCCAATGAAACAAGTTAATCACGAATCTGAAACAAAAACAAATAAAACACTATCATATAAATTGATATCCAAAAATTAAATAAATATTTTAAGATTATGATTCAACTGATACGTGATGCTACTAATTCTAAAATTACCATACGAAGGGACGAGAAGTTTTAGGGTTTACTAGTATTACTCTCGTCCAAATCAAAATGCCATCCAAATTTTACATGCATGCCAATGCCATGTTCTTCGCTTGATGGCTACATGGCTCAAGATGATGCCGTTTTCCATGTAATATAAAGTTAAACTATGCAACCCTTGGATCAAACTCCGACAAGTTGGTGCATATAGCACTTGGAGTAGGTTTTTATTTACTTGGAAGTTGGGTTCCCACTCATGGCCTCCACTAGCATGGCCATTGCGCCATTTTGACGACCCAGAACCCGAAGATATAATTTACAGAAAGAAATGCTGGCTTTTATGAGCAACGAGCTTTGGGTATTATATGTCATGGTTTTGGCAACGAGAAGATGACAAAGATAATAAGCTATATCCAAATGCATGAGAGACTGCTAAACCTCGTTTAATTCTTAAAGCACAAAACAACAAAGATGCTTCTCATGTCATCATTTTGTTTGGTTTACTTTAATTAATCCCTTTTGCCCTGCATCTTTCAAATATTTGATTAATGGGGGCACTCATGGCAACAATATCCCAAATGTGTGTCTTTGTCACGCAAAGCTTGGGAGTTTGATTTGATCATGGTGAATGGTATTATTATCAATTAACAAAATATGTACGCCTTCAATTTTATGAATTTATGCCAATTAAATTCAGAATTTGGAGAATATTTTGATTACTTAAATGATTATACGAGTAATGTCATGTTGTCAAACTGTTCATCATATTCAAATAAAAGTTCTTATATACTATCGATTCATATTGACAATATAACAACACATATTTAGACCGTATATCGTATAAAATTCCTTTGTGAATAAATTATTGAACCTAATGACTTTATTAGGGGCATTGTCTCTATCTAAGTCCATGTCTCATCAAACAACATGACTTGTTCAAACCTTATAGCTAGCCACATGCGAATAAATAAAAAAATGGGGAACAGATTGATTAGATAAATGATTAACGTGGATTCTTAATTTCTTATCCTTGAAATTAAAATTTGTACACGATTTTCGAATATTCGCACGCAAACGAACTCAAGGATTATATTAGTGACTAGCTGCCTCTTGCTTTAGCATGTGAGAAGATCTTGGGATTGAATCCTCCTGCAAACAACCAACTCACCAACTTTTCTTTTCTTTTCTTCCACATATTATAGTCCGATTAGTACAGATTCACAATCTTATCTAATGTGAATTTTAGATCATTATACTCTCAATTTTGTTTTGATTATTATCATGTTCATTAATGTGGCATAAAATGGTACGAGTGGGATTAAAAACATACTCTCTTTTTTTAATCTCCATTTGAAAAGTATACTATTTCATTTTATTTACTCAATATATTTTTAACGGTTTACTTATTTGAAAATGTAGTATGCTATCTCTTTCTTTCTTTCTTTTTATCTATTTTTTGAGAAAGCGATATTGTAACTAATGTACGAGGAGAGAGATCGAACTTGAGTGCAAGACAACGGACAAACTACCTTAAAGCATCTCCAAGGGAGATGTTAAATACTAAACATCAAATTTAAACTTGATAACTGACGTGACAATTTGACATTTATATAATTTTACACTCCACCTGATATGTCAAATTAAATTATTAAATTATTATATTTTAGTGCTGATTTAAATTGAAAATAAATTGGGAATAGAAAGAAGGAAAACATTTGTAATAGTCAAATCATTCAAGATAAAGAAAATAAAAATAAAAAATGAAAATAACAGCCAATTATCTTTAAAAAATAATAAAATGTTCATTTGATATTTTGTTTTTTGAATGTCAAAAGTAACGACTGAACTTCTAGCCTTCATTCCATATCAGGTTTGACAATTTGGTTGGAGTGATATGAGATGTTATTTCTAGCTGTTAAATGTCTATGTGGCATTTTTAACATATCAGTTGGAGATGCTCTTAGTGAACTGACCTAACCTATGTCAGAATTTTTTTTAGTTCTTAATTTTGTTGTTTGTGGCATAACTCAGAAGCCCAGAATAACAACATTCTACAGCTAGCCCAAAAAAAACAACAGAGGCAATTCCTGAAGCAAAGATGTTTAGAGCTGAGATGTTGGGCCATCAAACACCCAAGCCCATTTCCAAAAATTGATACGAAGAGGGTTCGACGCCGCGTTTAGTCTTCCACATGTATAAGGAAGTCGTAGTGTCGTAGATCTCTCAGATCCTGGGCCATGGATTATAGATAATCAATCAAATCGAGGTAGACTTTTGTTGACTTGTTTCGTTCGTCGTGGATTGGTAGCTAAGCTCACGAGTCACTGCAACTCGGTAGGTCAACTTGTGAGTTTTGGGCTGGTTAATAATTTATCAACTTTCTTGACCAAAAGCTTTTACTTTTTATTTTTATCTTATTTGTTTTTATTGATTAATTTTAATTTGCGTGTAGCTCGTCCTGTTTCTAGGGATTTTGGCGCAATTTAGGGTTTTAGGGTTTCTGTGCAGCTACAGCTAGGGTTTTTGGGCTGAATTATCCATGGACTCTGTTCAAGCAAAGCTGTTCGTGGGGGGCATCTCTCGGGAGACAAGTGAAGAGACACTGAAATACCATTTCCGGAGCTACGGCACCGTTGTGGGCTCGGTCATCGCCAAGGACCGCAGCACCAACCACCCTAGAGGCTTCGGCTTCGTCTGGTTCTCTGACTCGTCTTCGGTTGATAAAGCCCTAGAAGATCCCCATGTGATTCTGGGGAGAACGGTAAGATTTCTCTTGGCCATATCTGCTTACATGCTTTGTTTAATCGTTCTGTTTGGTTGCTGAGAAAATGTAAGCTGTGAGAAAAAAGGGGATTTTTTTATAGTGAGAAAGTATTATAATTTCCCCCAAATTTACTTGTATAAGTCAGATAAACGGAATTAAAAATGCAAACTTCAGAATCATAGTCTCCTTTCTTGCATTGCATTTTGCAGCAAAACCAAAACAGAGATTTTATTTATGGGTTGCATAATTAATTATCAATTTTGTTTATAGGTAGATGTAAAGAAAGCCTTTCCCAGAAGCGAACAACTCAGAAACCAACATCAAAGTACTTGGTCGAGTAGGAGTAGTAGTAGAAGCTTTGAAAATAGCAACAATCAGTTTAGAACAAGGAAGATATTTGTTGGGGGTTTATCAGCGAGTCTGACTGAGGAGGGGTTTAAGGATTATTTTGAGAAGTTTGGGAGTGTAACGGATGTAGTGGTGATGTATGACAACACAACCCGCCGACCTAGGGGGTTTGGTTTTGTTACCTTCGCTTCGGAGGATGCTGTTGAGAATGTTATGCAGCAAAGCTTTCATGAGTTGAATGGTAGGTTTGTGGAGGTCAAGAAGGCTGTGCCAAAGGAGGAGAATAACAGTAACGACAGTGGTTATACACCGGTCAATTACCCTCCTTATACTTATAGTCCTACTCCATATGGGATTCTTCCTAGTCCTACACCTTATAATGGGTTTGGGCCATTTATGTATGGAACCGGTGTTTATGGCGGTTGGTACCCTACGGGAGGATCTGGTGGGATTCCTTATGGCATTGCTCCAATTGCTCCTCAGGCCTGGATGTTTCCTTATGGCAACTCTTTATATCCGAGCCACATGCGTGGTGGGGGCTTGGTGGCAGGTGGGTATAGTGGGATTCTGGGGCATGGTGCTGTTGGTGGCATATCAAATCAGGTTGTTTTTGGCAATGGGCAGGCACCAGCTTCTGTGAAGAAGTCATCTCGGGTTGAAGCGGAGAAACTAGATGTGGATTCTGGAAGCAACAGTGCTGGTTTGAAGAAAAGAAATTCAAAGAGGTCTTGATGGATAACTTCACCACCTATCTACACAGGACTGTGACCTCTGTAATTCGTAATTCAGGTAGTTAGGTTTGGGACTGAAAGCATTTGCGTGATTGGAGTTAATTTGTACAAATCATTAGTCACATTGGCCATTCATTTCCTGTTGGAAATTGTAAATACATTTTAATTTAACCTGTTTCTGTTGTAATCCATTGGCAATTATGAGGTGGCCCATAGTTCTTTGCATTCAAAGAGAAGGCCAATCCTTTATGGGTGTTGCTGGATTCTTTGTTTGATCCTTTCCTTAACATGATTTCCCTCTACTTCAAATTGCGAAGAAATTTCACTCATCTCCCATGATTTCATCTCTCACTCTTTTACATTATAAATAAAATAGGAAGTAATGGGGGCGTTCATCCAAAGTCTCTTGTTAATTAATTAACCTAATCAAATTGGATATGCACGTCAAGTTTATATATATGGATGACTTTGTGTTGGAAAATAAAATTTAAATATCGTATATATACCAAAACACCCCCTCTCGATCTGTAGTTTAGATTATCGCTTGTTTTAAAAAATGTCATTGACTGAAGTTAAGAAATATGAAGAAAATTTAACGAAACTGCGGGTACAACAAATATAAACCAGAAAAATTATGAAATTTCGTCAAGGCCCAAACCAAACGAGACAAGAAGACGAAAACGATGGCGTTTCGTCTACTTGGGCTGCACTGAAACTTGTGGTGTTGTTAAAGCGATTCAAGCGGGGCAGCTGAAGAAACAACAAAACTGAGAGCGCAAAAATGCTAGTGCTCGGCCAAGCTCCAAGCGGAGCCTTATCGGCCAGACGCTGTTCTCTCTCGTCCCCTCCCAAATTCATAAACCCAAATCCACCTCTCTTCTCTAACCGCAAACCCAGGTTCGCTTCCAAAACAAACCCTTCGAAATCCCTCAATATCACGCTTGCGAAGGCCGATGGAGGCATCGATTCGACTTCAGCCGCAACCAAACAGGCCTTTTCTAGCTCACCAGCTCCTCCGCCTCCTCCTTCTTTGGACAATGATCAACCAGTTTTCGTGGGTCAGGAGAACATACCCTTGGAAGGTGTCATTCAGTTCGAGAAGCCCAGTTCGTCTTCTCGTTTACGCAAATGGGGGTAATTTGAACAATTTTGGAAAGAAAAAATTACTTGAATTTTGAAATTTTGTTTATTGATTTCAGTTTGTGGGTTGTGTTTCAGTCGAGTGGCATTGCTTGCTGGTGGGGATGTTTTGGCTTTGCTTACGTTTGCTGCAATTGGAAGATTCAGTCATGGGTTTTCTGTTTTTGAATTTGAAACCCTGCGCACAGCTGACCCTTTTATCGCCGGTATGCTTGTTCATTGTTAAGCTTGTTTTGAGATTGAAAGAAAGCATGGCCTTGGGTCTTTGTTTTAACCAAAAAGCCAAATGTGGTTGAACAGGGTGGTTTTTGAGTGCTTATTTCCTTGGAGGCTATGGGAAGGATGGACGTGGAGTCAATGGTCAGTCAAAGGCTCTTACTGCTACAGCTAAGTCATGGGCCCTGGGGATTCCAGTAAGTTAATATGTTTGTAGCTTTAAGTATTTGGTTTCGATTTCCATAGTTTCAGAGTGGTATTGCTTCTTGTAGCTTGAGAGGAAGCAATTAAGTTTATTATGCAAGGCTTTCATTTATAAAATTATAATCCACTTTGCCGCTCCATCTTATCTCTATTATTGTTTCTTCGAGTTTTGTCTTTTGATTTGCATGATCTGTTAATTTGAAACATTTTGCATTAGAGCATAGCTGTTTTACTGAGTGATGCTTTCCATTCTATTGCTGTGCACTAAGTTTACTAGACACCTGATGTCACTCCATCTTCCATTTTACTTTTTTGGCAGCTTGGGATAATCATAAGGGCATCAACAGCAGGCCACCTTCCACCATACAAATTTATACTTGTAACAATGGGGAGCACTGCTGTTTTACTTCTTGGATGGAGAGCACTTTTGTATAAATTTCTTCCTGGAGATAAGAGCAAGAAGAGTGATGTATATCGGCGTGGCAGTCCATTTGAATTGTTTGAGGTACAAAAATATTATTGGCATAAACTGTCATTTGGAATTTCTTAATGTCATAGTTATAGTATTTTGCCTTCACAAATGCAAGTTTTCCTGGATAATATTGTTTCCTGTACTGGTACAAACAAATTAATCTCAGTGTATATGACGAGAATAGGTTCCTTGCACTCGATCTCATGGTAGGGAGTAGTTTGCTTGTTTTAGAAAATGGTTCAGTGTGAAAGTTCTTGCATATTGTGCTTGGAATTTGAAGCATGTAGAGTGGCCATATGTAAGCCAGAACCCATGTCCTAAAGGCTGCTCATTTTTCACATGAGTTCCTTCATCTAAGTTGTTTGTATACAGCACGGGGGAAAAGGTGTAATTGATATTGTGCCTACAATCATTCCAAGTTCTGATCTTAATTAGTTTGTTAATTTTATACTTCCCAGAAACTGCCCTGTTCATTTGAAATAACAAGACTTTGAAATGATAAAATTTAAAATTTTGCCCTTAGTCTTGTTGTTAACAAGAAGAGATAGATCAAGATCTTCCTTTAGTATGGGAATAGCTGCAATGCCTACCACACTGGAGAATAGTAGATTGTTATTAATTTAAGCCTTTTTTTAATTATCTTATAGTTAAAATTTACAATGTATTTTATACTGGACAGAGCCCACATTTTGTTTTGTTTTGTTTTGTTTTGTTTTTTTTTTTCCATATCTGTCTTCCAACACTTCAACACTCATAGAGAATTTCGACATACTGTTGCTAACAATTAACTGTTTAAAATTTGTTGCAGTTGCTCACATCATTAGTACGAAGGTGGTGATGATGGCGGTTAATTCAATCTACTTGTACCATACTGTTATTACCAATCCTGACATCAGTTCATTTCAGTTCTTCTCATACTTATAAGCCCTTTGGATAGTTTCCTTTGACGTACATTGTGAAACATAAAGAGTGTAAGATAAGAAACGAGATTGATTTATGAAGAGAATACTTGTTTGTTTGACGGACTTTCCACCAGTTTATTTATATTTATTCTTCCTATCCCATTTAATCTGGGTGAGAAGGTGGCTTTGGGTAAGAGTCTTTTGTTAGCCGCATGGTTACAGAATACGCTATAGCAATAATGGAAGTCGAAATTGTTGGTTTGTACTGCTTGACTAGTTCTTTTGAATTCTGTGATGAAGCGTCTCCTTTGTCTAGTTCTTTTCACCGTTTTTGAGTTCGTATTTAGCCATTCTTGAACAAGCTTTAATTGACCAAAAAATATAGAGTATACGGTGGTTGTGAAAAAGAATGGATCAATATTAAAATGGCAATGAAAAATCCATCACGAAACATGCTATTAGCTTCTCGGGGTTGTACAATTTTTTGCCGTGGACAGGGAAAAGGGGGCTATAGTGAGGACTTATAGCGAGGGGTTATAATGATGGGTTCCTTAATAGCTGAAAGGGAATGGGAACACCAATGGAAATGGCCCAGCCTCATGGATAGACTTTCTTAGACTGGTTATTGGAAAAGCCCATTGGGCCTGTATGTGCTGAAAGTTAAATTTCTTGTACATCTCCATCTCTTTCTTGCTTTATTAGTCTCGCCATCCCCTAATTGCCAACCAAATCCGTTGTAGTCTAGTTGGTCAGGATACTCGGCTCTCACCCGAGAGACCCGGGTTCAAGTCCCGGCAACGGAATTTTTTTGCTTCCTTTTTAATTCTCCCTCTGTTCCTTCTCCTTAAATAGAACAATAGTGAAAGAAGAAAAAGAAGATTTGACAAATCTGTCTGCATAGTAACTAGGCTTTAATGCGGCTATAGGTGAAATTCTAGATTATGCTAGCCTAGAGGTAGCCCTGTAGCCGTTACCATGGCTGCTCAACATGTCCCATCTGCCAGAAAGTGGCTAGGAAGGGCAAGAACCCTACTTTTTTTAAACCCAGTTGTTAAAATTATTTCCTCAGTCAGACACAGTTGTTTCAGTCATGGTTCGCCAGTACCATTGACCTTTGATAGATCATGTGATCATGATTTTATGATCTGAGAAGAATCTGATTTGGCTTGTGGGGATAATGGGATTCTGTAATCATTTTTCACAAGCTGGTTAAGTTGACAAATAATAGCATTTTTCTTCCTCTTTTTTGCTTGTACAAGCTCAAAAAAATTCATTTGTATGTGACAGAAGAGAGTGTCACGTGAAGAAAGGGAGGGTTTAGGGTTGATGATGCATATATATGTATATAGAGAGAGGTGTGTTGGGTGCGGGGGAAGCCTATATGACTTTCTTTTTCACCACATTCCTGTCATGCGGTCAGAACATGTTTGGGCCTAAAAACCCACAATACTAAAAAAAGAAACATTTTTCATCCTCTTCTTCCATTTAATCAAGCAAAAAGGAAATCCCAAATGAATGAATGAATGAATGAATACATTTGAAAAAGCTATGTGCCTGCGTACCTTCCTGTGCAGTGCTACACTGCTACTAGCTAATAGCTATGCTATACAGCATCAGGCATTAAAAGCACGTCTCAATCGTATCTTAGAGACCAGTGATCATCAATTGAATCAATATTAATTAGATTTCAAAATGAAACGCTCTCCTATCTAAGTAACAGGTGTGGTCTGTTCTAACTTGTATTGATTTGCTTAAGGTAAGTTAAGTGCTCAAATTTGTAATCAAGGTACTTTTTTGAGGCTCATGTTTCACAGATGACAGAAGAAAACTGGGGGTTTTTTATCTCTATTTTCTTATATCAGAGCTAATCACCTAGCAGTACTCCTTATCCGTTTAATTAGAAGAGAATTAAAGGAGGCACTCTTAAAGAAATGGGAGAGAGAGAGAATCTAAGGTGATTGTGACATGACAGATAGGCTTAGATTTTGACATGTCATCTCGGGCTGAGGCTGTGAGAGAGAGAGAGAGAGAAAGAGAGAGGGGCAGTGACAGATAGAAATTGGTAATGTAAGGGGCTCTGGGCTTGGCATGCAAGGTAGGCTTAATAAATGGAGAGAGAGAGAGAGAGAGAGGGTGAAATAAAGCAAAATTTCAATATGAACAGAGAAACACAACAGTTGAGGGAGAGAGAGGCATGCATTGCACATAACAACAGCAGAGGGAGGAGAGTCCACATCTAAATAAACCTACAGTTGTCCTTGTCTGAGTTGGGCTGGCTGGGGTTGGGTTGGGTAGCCATCATCCAGGCTCCCTCCAGTGATTTCATAATCCACTTTTTTTCTTTCTTCATATTGGCTTATGTGCTGAACTGATCTTTCCTTAGATTTTGTTTGGATTTTGTGTTCCTCACGTGATTCTCTTAACTCCTCTCCCCTCATTTAATCCCTCTCTGACTCTCACTCCCTATCTATCTATATACACCATTTACACCTCGCAACAATTCCAACAACTATATAATTTAGGGCTATATATAAATATATATATATATATATATATCTGGAACTGGAAGTACCCAAATAACTGAGGTGGCTGGAAACTATCTGTACCCCATATTTTCTATTTGGTAGGTAATTATGTTTAGGTTTATTTATGTTTCTTTCTTGTAGTTGTTTGTAGAAAAGGCACTGTTTGTGAATAATTAATACCATAGACAAAATTGTTTTTGCCGCCAGAAAAAATTATTGTACACTACCGGGATTCTGTGAAGCACCTGCAGCAGCTTCATTTATCTGCAAATTTGTATTGACTTTGGCACCTCCACCACCACCACAACATGCTGTTTGATATTGATTAAGGAGATAAACATGTCTTCAAACAGTGCATTAATTTCATATTAATTTAGTTAAAAGTATATCCTCTTTTTATCTTTTAATTATATTAAACAATATATGTGGAGTTCAGTGGCTCGACGATGATGAAGAAATCAGCTGGAGGGTTTTTCATACACATAACTAAAATGTCATGGGGATTTGAACTTAAAATCTCTAATCTGCAAATCATGGTCATTATTTACTGGACTAGACCCCGTTAACATCATAATCTTTTTAAAGTAACGTAATTATTTACTGATTAGGTCTTTTCTTTATAAAAAAAATTAAGAAGATTGTGTATGCTGGCATTTAACTGTTTTCTACTGTTTGACTTGCTCAATCGTGTGTGCAATTCTCTGGCTTTTTTTTTTCTACCCAAGTAAGGTCCACAAGTCTGACTATTTGAATACTACAAAAATACAAATTACAAGCTAAGACAAATATTGTCTCTTTTGTGCTTCTCGCATCCCCCTTTTCCCGCCATCTTCTGTAACCCATTTAGTAAATGATGTGATTAAACACTAATTAATTAATCAAGTTTGGTTTTTAAGGTTCAATGCTTGGCCATTTTGATGCAATTAGTAGGGCCCTAAACTTGATTTAAAACAAAAGAAGCACTACCCATCAAAGTTTGGTGAAAATTATAGTGTATATATATATATATATATATATATATATATGAAACTAAGATTAGAAGGGCATGCATTATTAGCTTTGGCACAAAAGGGCATGCACAAATTAATTAAAAATAAGTGAATCTAAGTGGTTTCTTTGATCATTACCATATCATCATAAAAGAAGGCCTCTATGCACACACATTACACACTCAGTCTCTCTTTCTTTTTGCTTTCTCTGGTATTTCTTTTCCAATTAATTCCCTCCAAAACTCAGTCAATATTTCATGGTTCAAACCAAAATCATTCACATTTGAAAATCTGTCCCCATGAAAACTTTCATGCACAAACAGCTCCATGTAGCACTGATCCCACTCAAAAAAAAAAAAAAAAAAAAAAAAAAAAAGAAAACGGAAAGCCTCATCAACCAGCAGACACCAAAGGGCAAACACTGAAAAAGTTATTTGGACAACTTCCTGCCATTTTCAGCAAAAAAGAAAGGGAAAATTAGGGAATATATTGACAAAAAATGATTACATAAAAATGCAATGCTTGGAATATTTCTTTAAAAAATCCAAGTCATTTCCTTTAAATCCACGTGTTTATATACCAGTATTAAACAATTCTCTGAAACACTATGTAATAAAATACTATCGCTTGTTTGGTAAAAAACAATTCTCAGAAACACATGTGATGAAACAGCAGCAGCAGTAGGAATATGCAGAATAAGAAAATGGCAGGAGGACATTTTTAATCAAAGCATCAAACCAAAAAGATGAAAATAGGATGAGAAATAAAATGCATTTTGCACAAAAAGCTCGTTTTTATGGGGGGGCCTTTGCTCATCATTCCTGGAATATTTCTAGCATATCACAAGACCCACGTCCTACTTTTTGTCTGGAAGCAGGTGTTGACTTAAACACTCAGCAGCTCCCTACTTAAATCCAAATTAAGCCACATTTTCTAGCCAGGTTCAAATTGCTTCCTCCAAATTAACACATATTTATGATAAATAAATAATAAAAACAACATTTAATTTACCAAATTTGTTATTTTCCAACAGCAACGTCGTATTTCTTTCCAATCATAGGAGCATTATGCCAAACGAACCAAACCAATAAAACACACAAACAGGAAAAAAATCTAACTTGGATACCAATTGATTACCATCGCAGCTGTGAGGTCAAATGAAGCACATAATTAATAATTTCACTCCAATCCTTATCAAACTGGACAGTTGTTGTGATGGACTACGAGCCTATCACCTTTTTATGGTCATTATTTTTCTATTTTTGATCAATAACGTTTTGACACACGTGATAACACTTTAACGTAAAATTGTATTATTGGCTGATCATAACAAAATAATATTATTTCCGTTGCAATTTCACCTTTTTATTATAACATCAATCGCCAAAAAATAAAATAAAATAATCTTTGTTTCTTTTTTTCAGTTATTCCATTGTTTTACGTTACTATTTTGTTTCCCATTTCAATATGTAAACCAAACTAGAGCAAAAATTTAAACTAAAAAGAAAAGAAAACATCAATGGGATTTTAAAATTTGAGATACTTCGGGCCTGCAGAGTGGCACAAAGGCTGTACTGTATGAAGTGACTGGATGGGGCAGTGTCCTTCTCGTCAAATCTATCTTAGGTCCTGTGACTGTAAAAATAAAGCAAACTAGTTTTGGATATCTGACCATTTCTCTCTCCACCCCATTGGCTATTTCACACCCACTAGATTCAACTGACCACTGACCACTGTCAATGAAGAGTGAGAAGAAGAGAAAAAAGTTTATGATAATTTTTCTGGGTTGCATTTAATTTCTGGGTTTGTTTGGGTAATGAGGAAACTTAGGTGTATTTTTGAGAGGTAAAACGTGGGTTTGTGTGTTGGGAAAGGGTTTAAGCGTTATATTGGATCTGGGTTTTTGGAAGGGTTTATGAAAAAGAGCAAGAGAAGTGAGAGGAAAAAGCAAAAGTTGTGGCATTTCTCATATACACAGATCCCTATGGGATATATGCTGGGGTGCTCTCCAGCATTGCTTGTTAGCTTAGAAATATTTATTCTTTTTGTTTAGTTTAAAGAGACCACAGGTTTTGTTGTCTTTGGAGAGAGAGAGAGAGAGAGAGAGAGAGAGAGAGAGTGAGAGAACCAAGATGTTATATATGTGAGTGCATAGAATGAAGAGTTTAAGTTAGTTTCCTTGAAACCAGTTCAGAAGCTAGACAACAAAAAACCAAGTTTTTCATATATGGGGGAGGGGAGGCAAGAGATTTTTGACATGATTAGTTTATTTCCTCTCAATGATTGAGTTGCCTTGCAGCTGGAGATACTGCTGAGAAGTTCAAGTGAGAACCTTTAGAAGTAGGAAAGGGAAAAAGAAAAAAAAAAAAAAGGAAGAGAGAGAAAGAAGAAGATGAAGTCCATGAATGATCACAATAATAACAACAATGGAAGCAATAGTAACTGGTTGGGGTTCTCACTCTCACCCCACATGAAAATGGAGGTTACTTCTGACCCTCATCAGCATCATCATCATCACCACTACAATCATCAAGGTCAGGCTTCTTCAGCTGCTGCTGCTCTGCCAAGCACCTTCTATAATCTGAACCCTCACCTCAGCAGTTCTGGACTCTGTTATGGAGTTGGAGAAAATGGTGGCTTTCACTCTCCCTTGACTGTTATGCCACTCAAGTCAGATGGGTCTCTATGTATCATGGAAGCTCTCAGCAGGTCACAAACAGAAGGTTAATTTGCTCAACCTAACATGTACATTTTTCATGTTCTATTTCTAAGCAAACTGCTTGAATTTCTGAAATGTTTCTGTTTTGTTTTTTATTATAAGGAATGGTGGTGCCAAACTCATCCCCAAAACTGGAGGACTTTCTAGGTGGAGCAAGCATGGGAGCTGGTGACTATGGAAGCCAAGAAAGAGAGGCAATGGCTCTGAGCTTAGACAGCATCTATTACCATGAAAATGCAGAGGCAGAGCAACATATTCCAGTCCATTCCCACCCATATTACTCTGGAATTCCATGCCATGGAATGTACCAAACACCATTGGAGGAAGAATCTAAGCAGACTCACATTGTAGGCTCTGAAAATCCCCAAATGACTCAAATGCAAGAGGGCTTGAAAACCTGGGTGGCTAGGCAGTACTCTGCTCATCAAGCTCTGGAGCAGCACATGAACAACAATCTGGTTCATGATGGTGGAGGTTCTGGTTCTGTTAATGGTGCAATGAACTGTGGGGATTTACAGTCTCTTACTTTGTCCATGAGCCCTGGTTCTCAGTCCAGCTGTGTTACAGCTCCAAGGCAGATCTCACCCACTGGAACAGAATGTGTGGCCATAGAAACAAAGAAGAGAGGTGGTGGGAAACTTAGCCAAAAGCAACCTGTACATAGGAAGTCCATTGACACATTTGGGCAGAGAACTTCACAGTACAGAGGTGTCACAAGGTTCAACTCAAACCATCTCTTAATCCCATTTCTTCACTCTTGTTATGTTGATAGAAATTGTTTGTATTTTCATTTTTTATTACATTAACTCGGAATTTCTTCTCTGACTGTTATCCAAGTAACCCTTTTTTTCCAATTTGCTTCCACCAGACATAGATGGACTGGTAGATATGAGGCCCATCTTTGGGACAACAGTTGCAAGAAGGAAGGGCAAACTAGAAAAGGACGGCAAGGTTGGTCAAAAAAATCTGCTCCAGTCTTAGTAGATGTTTGGTAGTTTTTCATGTTTTGCTGAATTTTTTGGTCCCTACCTGTTGGTGATATCTGACTTGTGCTATTAATTCTTACCTGTCATGTTTATGCTCACGTTGGATGCCATTCAAATCAAATAATGCAGTTTATTTGGGTATGTCTTTTTCTCTGTAACAATAATGAGGAATTTTTGTTTTAATCACTGGGTTGTTATTGATTTGCATTAATCATTTCTCATTTGAACCACAGGAGGCTATGATATGGAAGAGAAAGCTGCAAGAGCTTATGATCTTGCCGCCCTTAAGTACTGGGGTTCTGCAACCCATATAAACTTTCCAGTAGGGTTCTCAACTCTTGGCAGTTTTTTTCGTTTTTTTTTTAAGCTTTTTAGTAGCTGAAATTTCATCCTCTTGGTCTTTTGGCAGTTGGAAAATTACACTGCACAACTTGAAGAGATGAAGAATATGAGCCGGCAGGAATATGTAGCGCATCTGAGAAGGTACATGTTCTTTATTTGTTATTCTTAGACTGTTTCTAATGCTTCTGTATTTTAAGAAGATTATTCATGAGTTTCTTTCATTTTCAGGAAAAGCAGTGGATTTTCAAGGGGGGCATCAATGTACCGAGGAGTAACAAGGTTTGTTGGTTTTCTTTTGCCTTAAACACAAATTTAAGGTTCAAAATTCAAATGGTTACTTTATGCTAATTTTAGATTTGTTTTCTCATCTTGGTTTTTTGCAGACATCACCAGCATGGGAGATGGCAAGCTAGGATTGGCAGGGTAGCAGGAAACAAAGACCTGTATCTTGGGACTTTTGGTAAATTCATGCACTGTTTGAACTCTCTTTATTCTTCATATGCATTATTTCCCATAGTTTAGGTCATTTTCTAAATTTCGTGAGGCTCTTACTGTAAGCACTTTTTCAAAGGACTCATTTTTTGTCACTCTGTTCTCACACTTTTTTAAGGCTGGTGGTGTCTGCTTTGGCACTGTAAGAAGGAACTTTTTTTAAGGCTGTGTTCTCTCAGAGAAGATAAAGAGGAAGAAAAGGACTTCCCAGCTAAAATAACTTATTAAAGGCTATATTTTCATTGTAAAGTTTGACCCTTTCATGCAAAGCTTTATAATTAATGTGAGTTTTGCACAACTTCTCACTTGAATTGAATTTCAGGTACCCAAGAGGAAGCTGCAGAAGCTTATGACATAGCTGCAATCAAGTTCCGTGGTGTAAATGCGGTCACCAACTTTGACATTACCAGATATGATGTTGAAAAAATCATGGCCAGCAATACCTTGCTTGCAGGAGAGTTTGCTAGGCGTACCAAAGAGATAGAACCTAACATAGAGGCCAATGCCATTGAATATAATCCATCAGCACAGAACAATGGGGAAGCGAACCAACCCGAAATCAACAATGGGAATGGTCTAGACTGGAAGATGGCCTTGTACCAATCTGCACAGGAACAACCAACTAGCTGTGTTCAAACAGTTGATCAGAAATCAATTGGTTCATTGAATTATAGGCATCCCTCTTTCTCAATGGCATTGCAGGACCTTATTGGTGTTGAATCAGTGAACTCAAGTCAGCCATTGATGGATGAATCTGCTAAGGTTGGGGCACATTTCTCAAATCCGTCCTCATTGGTGACCAGTTTGAGCAGCTCCAGAGAAGCTAGCCCTGACAAATCTGGCCCCAACATGCTCTTTGCAAAGCCTCCATTAGCATCAAAGTTCATCTGCCCTACTTCTGCAGCAGCTGCTGCTGTTAGCTCTTGGTTCCCAACAGCCCAGCTGAGGCCTGCTGCTATCTCCATGTCTCACTTGCCTCTTTTTGCTGCTTGGAATGATACCTAGAAAGCTGGATGTATTTTGTTGAAATGTATTAAAGTTTTTGCATGGACAAGAAAAAAGAGAGGAAGAAATTAGTGATGTTAGGGGTAGAAAAAGGTGATGGTGATTATGTTATCTGAAGGTAATTAGTGGAGGAAATTCAGGGTTAATGAAAAAGACAAGGGTAGGCCATGGGAGGCCGGTTGTCTGTTTGTAACCAAAGTAAGTGTAAGAAACTTTTTCCAAAACCAAACCTTTTGGCTCATGTGGGGGATAATGCGGATCTTGCAATACGGAGGGGACGGGATTAAGGGCTGATTAATGATTTAAATTCTGCTTAATGATGTGAGCAATATTATACAAGTGGAGTGGCCCTTCCATAATTGAATTTGCTTTTAAACATTGATAGGTCCTCCTCCTAAGTACAAAACCAGCTCATTGTTTTCCAATAATTCAAAAAGGGGTTATCTGCTTTGACTCAACTATCTCATCTGTGTTCCTCAATCTGCATAACATCATCATTGCAATCCCTTCCTTTTTCTTATTTGAGCTTTTCCTGAAGGGCAGCAAACAAACATTCCCACTGCATTATTCAAGAAAGGGGATGGGGAGAGATTCTTTGATATGGAGACTTTAGTTTGGCTTATTTTATAGTTTAATGGTCATAATTAGCTCCTATTTCTTTTCGCAAAAGCAAAGTTAGGGCTAAAAATTTCTTTGGCTTTTGTAATTCCACTAATCCATAGAGATATTGGATCTAAAAGCTATTCCATGTCGTGGTGTGAAATGTTGGTGGTTAAAAAAAGCTGGCATGATTGAAATCATTCACCACACGTTTACGGTGCTTGGTTTCTTGCCTTTCACGTGTGACATCAATTGCAATCTTGACCATTTTGGTGTTTATGTGATAAGAAGACAACGAGGAATTGGTGCCAGAAAAGCTGGAAGCTAAGCCAAATAAAGTTAGAATTAGTGCATTTTCCACCTCTTTACTTGGAAGCACAAATTACCAGCGATATTCTTAAGGCAAAACAAGTTGTATATGATAATGCGTCTATCTTTCATAATAACGTAACTAGTTGTATACAAGAATATATAATACATTTATTTTTCGTCACATAACTAGTTACGTGATGAGAGAGATAGACACGTAATTATGTACAAATGTAGTGTTAATGTTTGCACTCGTGAACTTTTAGAAACGCTGCTAATTATACAAAAAAGCAATCGGTGGAAATCCTTGGACTAATTAACAAAACATTGAAGAAGATAAAACGTACATGATTAGACATGAAAAGGAAGGCATTGCAAGAGGGAAACAACTGAGTCTGAGTTCTATCAAAAATAATAATTTTTTTTTTTAAAAACCGGAAAATGACTACTGAGTTCAATGGTCAAAAAGATTGAAAGCTTGTGTTGTGGAAAAAGATTGCAAAGCAAACAGGACACTCGTTATTTTTAACAAAAAAGTAAACATCAATCATCACAATTTTCTTCAACCTTGTTTGAGTTTAGTCAACAAATATGATTACCAGTTTGTTGTATACAGGTTGGATAGGGGAAAACAAGTCAAGTAAGACAGTTAGAAAGAAATAAAGTAATTTTCTGTTCATCGAGCTGCGCACGAGCTGGATCCTTGCAGCTCATCATCATCATCATACATAAATCAATATATATTTTTTGTTTAAGGAAGTGTCACAATTTAAGAAATTGTACATGGAAATTTGAAGAGAGAAAGTACATGGTACGAAGATAATATTGAAGGTGAAACCATGTGAATGTGATCCAGGTAGGTAAATAACGTTCAACAACAAAGATGTGTTCGGATGCAAACCATGTATGTATAGATAAATGTAACAAAAACAGTTGGTTGAAATCTTGTCTGCCATGGGGCCAAGCCAATGGGTAAAAACTTCTACTGAGTCACAGAGGCTTGAAGGACTTTGTTGTCAACATTCAGTGACAACAATATATCTACCGCAGTGTTCTAACATGAACGCTAAAAAAGGAACAAAAAGAAGAAAACACGTACACTGCACAAACCATATGGGAAATTTTATTGAATTTTCAACCAACCCCTCCAATTTTATTTTTTATTTTTTTATTTCCAAGCAATTGTATCTTAATAAAATTGGGATTTGAGACATATAGATAGCATTGTTTTGCTATTCCCAATTAATCATAAACTACCACGTGAAAACGTTGTTACGTGTGACCTATTGTGATTGGCAAGAGATAACAAAATAGTGTCACTTCCGTTTCACACAAGTGTTTCGGTGGCCTGAGAGAAAGATCCCCAAAGCAGTTTTAGATATGGGCTATGTCGTCCAAAATATGTAGGTACATGTATCTGCATATATAAACAAGTAGATGGTCCCAAAGGTTTCGGGTTTGATATAAGACTATGGTGTGTGTACATATATATATATATATATAGTTGCAGCAGGTTACAGCTCACTGGATGGTGACCCATCTCTCAGGTGCTGTGATTGTCCAATAAGAGTGACAATATTGGGACTGAAAAAGGAGGACCCTGCCAAACTATTTTTGCTAATAATTGATTTGATGGGATAAAAATAGTCAATAGTTGATGCTCATTGCTCCCTCTCAAGGGCTCCTGTTTCTCCCAAGGAGACTTTGTGATATATTTCTTTTCTTTGCCCAACTTCACACAGCACAAGGAACACTGAACTCTCTCCCTCCCCTGCTGCAATGCCTTGGTTTCTGGTTTTTGGTTCTTGGGTTTTTGGTTTTTGGTTTGGATCACAATCTATCTATCTATCTATCTAGTATTTTTCAACTTTCTAGTTGTTTGATTGTCAATTTGGGACCAGCTCAGAGAGTGTTCCCAAATCCCAACATCATGTGACCTTCATTAGCTTACAAGAGAGATGCCATGCCAACTTGGCACAGATGAAATAAAAGAAAATTTCAAATTTAAGAGAGTAGATGAACATGAGGCCTATTGATGTCCTTTATCTTCATGTTGGTCCACAGGTCATAGCCTCAGAGCTTTTGGAATTCCATACATTACTGAAACTTTCCCTCTTTAAGCTATCTGGCTTATTAATGGCCTTAATGTATTTATGATTTTTAATGTTTGCCTCTACAAACAAACTTCAGAAACACTTGTGCAAAACGGAAATATCATTATTTTTCTATTCCCAATCAATTGCGACATGTCATTTGTGATAACTTTTCTACATAACAGTCTGTAATTGGTTAAAAATAAAAAAACATTATCCACGTTTCATATAAATTTTTCTGCTACAAACAAACCTCCTACTATTGAACTATAGACCATATAGACAGGATAGTCAAAATAGCTGGACCCCTGGGAGAGAGAAACAGATCAAATTGGAACAAAATCCAAGATAATACCTTACCAGTGTTCTTCAATTTGGTTCTGCATTTTCAAATTTTTTGCAGGTGTCCCATTGATTGCAGACACGTACGCTTCTCAGGTCCTGTAACATTAATGGTGGCATTCTAACCAACAACAAAAAGGAAAAGAAAAGAAAAATTAAAAACAGTGATGGCTGCAATGTCATTGTCACAGTATCACCACCATCACTTCCTTATGGTTTGTTGCTTGTTCAATTGTTTTGTTCTCTGGTTTATCTACTCAGTTTCTGAACCCTCCCTGAAAACACTTCTTACTCACCAACAAATAAAGCTTCCTGTTTTACTGATATCTGCTGCAGATAACAGTAATTTTTTTCATATTCTTTTTATATATATAATAATTTCAATGAAAGTTTAATGAATTCTAGATGCATGCGACAAGGAGGCTAAATTAGCTGACATTAACCCTCGACACCTTTTATTTGAGACCACAAATGTTGGAGTATAATTTTGAGGCCCATTAGACCCAAGAAAACCAGGGTCTAGACCTACTCTAATGGCCACAAATCTTGAGAGCCGGCCCTCCTTCCTTTCTTATTTTTTTCTGGGTCAGGCACTCAGTCCTAAGCTTGGGCTAAACTAAATTACTTCGGCTCCCCAGCTCCAATGATATGACCTGGGTCGACTTAGAAATCATTCTCAGGGCCCTATAGAAATCATTCTCAGAGCCCTATAGATTGGGCTGTTATATGAAAGTAAGGGCTTTGTTTCTGATGACTGTTAAACAACTGGCCCACAACAATGGTCCAAATTATGACCTAAAACGACATAATTCTATACGTAAACACAATACTGTTGGCGTACTTGTGGATATTGACTTACTTTCCTTACACATCGAGAATTTCTATTATAATTGTAAATGATTATTATACATAAACACAATACAAGTAGTGTTACAGACAAGTAGAGAAGTCGTATCCATACATACATTATACATAAGGTGGTGTGTTTATGTGTTTATATTCATGAAAATTTTATAAAAGAAAATAAAAGGTTGGATTTGTATATGGAATCATAACATTTGGCAACTTTTTTTCTACGAATATGTGAAATTGCAAGAAAATCCCATTAAATTATAAAACAAAAAGGAAACTCTATGACAGTCTTTAGGAAAGAACAGGATGAATCTCTCAGTAGAATTTTGGTTGTAGTTCAACCAAATGAAGCAATGGGGGCATCTTAGCACAATATGTGCAGGTAAAGCCAGTAAAAAAGGTGATACATATATTCTAGCTGTTTATCTGTCACGACTTGTGATATTCCATAATTCACATGGGGAATATAAATTTAGAGAGATGAAAAGAGTCAAGACCAAGACCTAGAGCTACAGAGCTCTCCTGATAGATAACAATCTGTACGTTACATTATGTTTTCATGGACTTCGTATACATTTTTTCCTTGACAGAAAAGACACTTCGTGCTTTTGAGAAGAATAAAATCTGCTGGCGGGTCTTAATTCAGTAACCTGCAGAAGCAGAAGCTGAGAGGTACCAGTTTTGCTCAGCTTAGCTTCTCAGTTCATCATTATGTTCAATGCATGAATCTTTGGCCAGCAGGGTCAATGCAAGATTCATATGCCCCTTGATTTTCTTTTTCCCAAAATCTTGAAATTGGGAAAAATATTGAGTAAAATAAACCCATCATTTCATTATCCTGCAGCTAGTTTAATTTGTCCCTCATTTGGTCTAATTTTAGTACTTCCATACACTAAAGATGTACCCCATTTTCAGTGAGGCACAATAGAAGCTTTTTTTCTCTCTCTGTTTGTAGAAACATTTAAAATGATTGTAAGGACCAAGGCATGCATGAATCATAGCTAAATCAGGATGATGATTACTTATCCTCTTGCGCATGCTTTGATAATTTTCATTGGAAGATATGGAGAGTTTTGAGAATTCTTAATTTGAATGTGATTTAATATCTCTACACTCCATCATGGGCTGAGTTTTACTAATCATGTGCTCTTTGTTTAATCTGTTCTTCATGAGTTGTAGCTGTACTGTGTTTATTCAAACTCCAACCACCCATTAAAATAATAATTACAGAGGTTACTCATCTATTGCAGATATGTTGAGGGGAAATCAAACTTAGGATATCTTAGATGCTGAAAAAATGTTCTTAAGTACTTAAGCTACAGGTTCGTTGCATGCAATAAGTAGAGCTTTGTGCAACTGGAAAAAGGCGAGGTGGCAACTTTTTTGTTTTGGTAAAGAAGGAAAAAGCTTCTTTAAAAGTATAAATCTTTCAAGCATGGGCTGGGAAGTATGTTAAAGCAAAGATTAGAAGTTATTTAATTAAAGAGAATTTGAGTTTGATGGGGCTAATAAAAATCTTATAAGATTCGTGTCTCTTAGTCTTAGGTATCAACCCCATCATTGCTAATCAGGGTAGGACCACACATATATATCTCTTGGATTAAGATTAAGACCCACCTGAAGCTTCAATGCCATGCCCTGCACGCGTGATAAGACTCTCTTTTCCTCTTTAGTCTTTGTGGCTTATGCTTTATTATTAACGTAATTATATGTTAATTATCTTTTAAAAAAAACTTAATTATGGTGGTTTGTTGTTTACTTTACTTATTTATGAACAGTTTCTGATACAGTTCACTGATGTTTAACACATGCAGCATTATTGGGATCTAACCTGCTCTCTTATACTCTGAAAGGACCACCACCAATGTAGCTGGGTCAATAATCCTACCTGAATTATTTTGGTTTATATTATAATCGATTCCATTTTCTTTTGTAAGGAAAAATAAATGAATTCTTTGTGGGGTTTTGGAGTTTGAAACATTTTTATGAGGAAGTTGGTTGAATTGAATCACATCTGTGGCTTTGTTTAGCTTGAAGTAGAGCTGGCCAAACTATATGAAAGCTTTATTTTTATTTTTTTTGTCAGAGGAAAACATTGATTAGATTAAAGAATAAAGCTTTATTCAGATTATTGTAATGTATCATGTTCATGGTTTTGGATACATTTTATCAATAAACTAAGTCAATTTTGAGCATAATTTATCACTTTCTACCCATCAAAACCTACTTTGATCACCCCAATTACTGTTTATCTTTTCAATTTCAATATGCAAACAAAACCCCTTTCAAACCCAGAAAATAAAAAGATAAAAAAATTGAAAGCCAAGATTTTGACCTTGTTCTTCTCTAGAGAGGAGAAATACTTGTGTAAAATGAGAATAATACTGTTTTATTATTCCCAATCAATCACAGTATGCTATTTGTGATTATTTTTTCACATGACAGTCTATTAAGGCCAATCACTATTATCCTCGTTTCACATAAGTTTTTTTCTCTTGAGAGGTGCATTGTTCTAGCCCTACTACCACTTTGAAATGAGGTGAGGGGTATGATCCATTGTGAGTAGTGAGTACCCACATTGATCACTGATCAAGTTAGGTGTACCATCCCTATCATCGTATCTACCTATTTTTATTTGATTTGTAGTCCTTATTGTGGGTCCCTCATTCACTAAACAGAGATTAAAAACCCCACTTAAATTATTTACTAAACAATATTTAATGACCCATTTATAGGATGTAGTGTGTCACACCAGATAATGACCTCGGAGCAAATTAGCCGCTATTTTCGGAATAATTTTTGGTTTTTCCAGCAAGATCACAACCAGGCCTGGGAGGGTTGACCAGATAATTTGGTTTGACCAGGTTTGTTGGCTAATTGGCTGAGGGCAAAGCATAACACACAATAATATACTACAGCTGGAAACCGTACCAGGACAAGGAGGTAAATTGATGATTAGATTCCATTATTCCTTATGTTCCTGAGGGTCAGAGACTCAAACCCCTCCAAAGTTCAAAAGAAAAAGATTACAAGTACTGCCAACTAATATTAAATTACTTGAAGGAAATTGAGGTGCCAATCCCTGTTATGCAACCACAGCCTACACTCTCATTGTGGTCCCTTGATAGACATACACCTGTCAAGTGGGGCCCACCCAGTGAACAAGTGGAAGGCATCTTTGACAGGGAAGACATATACTAATCAGGAATCTAATGGTGCACAAGGAAGATTTTGTATGGGCCCCAGTGAATTACAGTGATGTGCAATGATGTAGATGGAGGATGATGGAGGTTAGGAGCATAATGAGCCTTCTCAAAAGAAATGAAAGGGGGTTAGTTGGCACTGAGAAAAATGAGTGTGTAACAGCAAAGAGAGGTCTGTTAGAATAGTTGGCAAATGTGTCAGTAAAAAAAAGTATGTCAAAGATGGAAGCAAGCAAAGCTTGGCCTTGAAGAGAAGAACCTCTTCAATTTTAAATGAAAGAAAATACAGGGGGAGCCATTATTATAATTGATAAATTGTAAATAAAGAAAGTTCAAAGTAGAGAGAAGAGAAATTACAAAGAGTAAAGTGTGGAAGGGCAAGAGATTAGGTTCTGTAATAATTTTCAAACAAGAGC